CCCCGCCTTCCCCTACAATATACATTTTACGATAATAGGTTACAGGCTTACTGCTTAATAATGGTTTAAGTTTATAGTACAATTATGACACCTAAATTAAATTTATGATATAATATATAAAATTCTACATTTTAATTAATTATATGCTTAGTTAATTATAATTAACTAAGCATATTTTTAATGTTTTCTCGATCTTGAATTAGTRCTTTATCAAGATTTTTCACAATTTCAAGCTGGGTTTTTAAGTCACTATAAAAATTTTGACAGTGGGAAATCATATTATATTGTCCATGAGAATTTTTTCACATGTTTAAAATGATGCTATGCCCGCATGTGTAGTTGTCTCCGACTTACAAGTGCGCAACATAGCAATAATATTGTACGTTCAGCAGATCACGTTTAGCTCCGTTAGTTTAAAATGTAGAGTGAATTAAACGTCCAGAAGTGATGGTAATTCGTTTCTATATATGCTGGATATAATATCGACTTTAGGTAGTGATGAAAGTGTTATATTTGTACTTATTAGTTATTACCRTAATCCACAGAAAGAGTAGTCATAGAAAAAACAATATTGGTGTTTGAAGTACATTTTTGATACCCTGATGGATCCCTAAGTTTTTCCATGACCGTCTTTTGGACAAAAACATGGCATTCTTTTCACTTGTAGGTAAGGCATATAGGTGGAGTATGAGAAATATTAAATAGGCTYGGGACTGGACTCTATCAAAATGCTCCAGAAATTAACCTTAGGCCGGTGTCATGTACAGTTTTGATTATTTTTAGATTCGAGAACAATATTAGAGTTTTAAAACTATGTATAAGGGATTTATAAGTAATTTAGAGGGATGATTGCATATGCTTTCAAGAGGTGAAGCCGTGTAGGCCAATATTATGTGGCATAGATATTTTTTAAATTTCATACAAGTGCGTTCTTCGATTGCACATGGAGTCGAATATGATACACGTTTTTTAATTATTAACCACATTTACATTAACAATAAATAATATCATTATAATTTTTTATTTTAATATTTCATGTCACTTTAAACAATTAATACATTAACAATTTAAATAATATTTAATAATTTTATATTCATATACATTTAAGATGCATTTATAGTTCATTATAAATTTATTTAGCTATGTGCCTACATCCAAAATTAAAATGTCAAACAATAATTATTTAATTAAGCATAAACATTAAATTTAAATTTAAAATAAATATACTATCTTCTGTTTAACTTTTATCCATTTACATAAAATACACCAGGAACATTATCAATCATATCATAACAGCCATTTATAAATTAATATTACTGTTTAAAAAAAAAGTACAAACAAAAGTATGTTTATATTTGTCTTTTTTTCTTATTTTGCTTCTAACTATTAAGACAGTTAGTTTAAATTTGTTCTTTACTCATCAAAATCCTATAAAATATTCAACAAATAGGAAATAAATTGTAATAATTATAATTATAA